TCTGATCAGAAGTAAAGGTTGGGCCTTCCTTACCCAGACAGTTTGCAGTGTCTGACTGCTCTCTTAACGACACTGGGGGTCGCTTCTAACACCACGATACCACCCCAATGACGAAGAGTGCACACGGGTACAGACGAAAGCTGGAGGTAACATCATACTCTCGAGGGAATGGGTGGAAAGATGTTGTTTACTAGTCTCTTGTTCATCCGGCCGACCAAGAGCCTGCAAAGTGCCAGACGAAGCTCTAATCTCACATCACTGCTGCAAAGATGGGAGTTTGTCACTCTTCTTCCACCCCTCGCCTCCCGGCACCTGCACCCTCATGCTATATCAAAATTGCACACTGAAAATCTTCAGAGGGGACAGAAACCACCTCCCTCCACAGGAAAGGACACTCTCCAGTCACCCCTCCGTTGAACACGGACATGAGGCTCAGGCTCCACCTGCCAGACTCTGACCAGGACGAGGTGACACAGAGGGGCTGGGACTGTGCAGAACACATTTTGGTAAAGACAGACAAGTGGCAGTGGTGACGTCCACTTGCCAGGAGCAGCATTGACAGCAGTCCTCACCACAAGGCCCAGTGTCCAGCATCAGGGTGTCAGAGGTGTGAGCAGTGGCATCTGTCCCCAGCAGCAGGGGCAGGGGTTCCTACCAGGGATCTGACCCAGGGTGGACTGTGGATTCTGCTCCTGGCTGTGTAGCCACAAGCCTGGCTTTGTGGCCTTCCCTCCAATAAAATTACTCCCCAATAGCATATATATGACTTTATATGTAAATTGGAAAAATTTGGCTTCTATTGTTTGCTCCAAGAAGTGAGTGAGAAATGAGTCTGGGGAACAGTATCAGAGAGCAGCATTCAGGGATGTTCTCCAGGCAGAGCTAAGAGCCGATACTGGAACCTTCTACCTGGCTGTACCCCAACGGAAGAGAGAATGATGCGAATCTCCCAACATCATGTCTCATAATTAATGATATATGTTCTCCCTTTTCTTCCCAAGGGAAAAGAGGACATTTAAATGGGTGTAAGACCCACCCTGGGCACTCTCTGATCACTGGCCTCAGGGCTCCAGTCTGGTTGGGCACTGGGTTCGCTGGTGGCACTTAGACAACACTCAGGCCTCTCCCAGAGCCACCCGCTCAGAGTGTCACGCAGAAGAGCAAGGACTCGCGTGTTTACCAAGCCCTGCAGGTGGGCTGAGCGCACACGTGGGGATCCTGCTCTGTGTTCTTGCTGCGGACATGTGACCTGAAGACCAGCAGCATCAGCTCCACCCTTGTCACGAACACGGGACGTCACGCTCCACTCCTGATCTTCTGTGTCTCAGTGCCACGTCCAGGGGACCCTGCACCCAGTACAGTCTGGGACTCCCTGGTCTCCGGGCCTTCTGGACGTGGCGTCGGAACTGTGCAGTCGGCTCTGGGCGTGTGGTCGGATCAGATCCTCAGCACTGGAGGCCCAGGGTTCAGCCCTTGTTCCCTTTCTCTTCCGTAGCCAGTCACTCCCTTGGTGACCTCATCCCCACTCGAGGCTTTAAATATCAGTTACATGGTGTCACCCCCAAATCTACTCCTCCAGCCCAGACATTTCTCCTAAAGTCCAGACTTGTTGTCCAGCTGCCACCCCGGCCCCCTCCCCTGCACTCCTGGTGGCGCCTCCTCCACTGAATGCCTGCGACGCCCCCTCCTCAAACACGCCCTGCCACAGTCATCCCCATCTCCACCGACGGCAGCTCCGTCCTTCCACTCACACAGCCCACACTGTGCGTGTCCTCCCGGACGCCTCTTCTCACACCCCAGATGCACTAGGAGACGCTGTAGAGTCCATCTTCAAAATGGATCCAGAACCAAGGGCTTCCCTGGATTTCCGCTGCTCAGCCGCCCCCTGCAGCCTGGAACCTGCCCTCCTTTCCCGCTGTTCCCCACTCCTCGCTCCTCCCGCCTCTCAGTTCTGCTCTCAGCACAGCAGCCAGAGACCCTTTAAAAAGGAAAGTTGTACCATGTCCTCTTTTGCTCAGAACTGTCCTGTAAGTCCCCATCTCACTCAGAGCAAAGGTCAGACCCTCCCACACCCTCAGGCCCACCTGCTCCAGCCCCACCTCTGACCTCATCTCAGTTGCTCTCTGTGCAGCCCCAGCCTCCTCGCTCCTCCCACGGCGCAGACGCCTTCCTGCCCAGTGCGTTTGCGCTGAACTTCCCCTGCCTGGAAAGAACTTCTCAGCGTCCTCGCAGACACTTCATCGTGTCCTTCAAATCATTCCTTAGAGCACGGAGCGTCCATGTTTCCCTTCTTTGCAACAAGGGCCACGCTGACCCCTCAGTGCCACAGCCACCTTGCCTGTCCCCACACCCCACACTCTGGATCATGTTCCCCTGTAACACTCACCGTCTTCTAACAGAAACACTTTCCTTGTTTGCTCTGCTCGTAGAACATAGTCTGTCTCTTCCCACTGGAACAGACGCTGCACAAGCCAGGAATATTTCTGTTTTTACTTTAACTATGTTCCTCCCACGTGCAGAAACAGTTTGTCATGTATCCGGCCAACCAATGACACTTGAATGAACGATCACTGTAGAGCACCTCCCTAGTCTAGACACAGGATCTTTATTAATGTAGCCTCAGGGCAAGTGCTGTTTTGAGGCAGACACATCACAGGGGCCTGTCACACTGACATTGTCCTTACACACTGACATCAATGCCACCTGTGCTATTGTGTCCTCCCTCCCTCCCACACAACATTCCTGCACACTGCAGCACACAGAGATATTCCTCTCCTAGGAATAACCATCATCCTTGACTGTGGGTCCAATTTTACACACAAATATACATCTAACTTAGAGCCTACTTTATAAATCCTTGAGTTTGGATTTGAGCCAACGACAGGATTACCAGAACTAAGGGTAGGGATGGGGGTAGGTGGGCGGAGACAGAAACTTAATAGGAATTTATCTGAGCTAAGGAGTGGTGGGATCCCTCCTCTCTGCTAATTTCAGAATTGGGTTCCTGTAAAAAGGCTGGGTGCAGCAACACGGATGGAACTGGAGGACGTTATGTCAAGAGAAATAAGTGAGGCACAGACAGATAGCGCGTGTCTCTCTCACATGTGGGAGCTAAAAAAACTGACCTCACAGAGGTGGTGAATAGAATGGTGGTTACCAGAGGCTGGGATAGGTATAAAAATACAGTTTGATAGAAGGAATAAGATCTAGTGTCCGGTAGGACAACAGGGTGATTGTAGTTAACAATAATTTACTGTATATTTCAAATCAACTAGACGAGAAGATTTAGTATGTTCCCAAAACAAAGAAATGATAAACCTTTGAGGTGAGGGAGTCTAATTACCCAGATCTGATCATTATACATTGTATGCTTGTACTGAAACATCACATGTACCCCATAAACATAAACAATTATTATGTATCTGTAAAAACTAAAAATAAATAAAAAAGGAATAAAAGTCTGGGGAACAGATGGGGAATAGAATCTAGGAAAGAGCCCTAGGAGGGCAAGAGCTTTCTGGGTCTGAAAGTTCATCTTTTGATACCACAGAGACTCCTGTGTGCAGGGGCTGCCCTGGGGGTATCTCAGCCTCCGTCATCCTCCTTGTCCAGGTCCTGCTGGACAAGGTTCTACTGGGACAAGGACAACAGAGCAGAGAGGATGACACAGCCAAGGGGTGACCACATAAAGCCCATGATGGACTGAGCACTGACTGGGCACAGCCCACTCCATACTGGGCTCCTCATAGCCTTCTCCTGTCCCCACCTGCAGTAGACTCAGCAAAGCAAACACAAGGATTCTGGAAGATTCTCAGGTCTTCCATTTATTTCCACTCTCAAATTTTAGGAAACTCCTCCTTTAATTAACCCATCAATGTCTCATTGCAAGAATTTGAGAAAACAAATTTATATTCAATTCTTATTCTCAGTAGGGGAGTAGCTCAGTGCACCATGATGTTGAGACAGGGATGGAGACATCCCAGCCCTTCCTCGCTGGAACAGGAAACATGATTGGGCACAGCACATGGATCAGCGTGACAGAAGGAGCAGGTCACAGGGGTGGGCTGGCCTCTCCACCTCATCACATTACAGGAACAGGGACGCAGAGTCATTTAGGTGCCTTTGTAGATAAAGAAGTCAGAGGCTCCTGAAGCCACAAAGGGGAGGCGTGAATAAATACTGCATTGCTCAATCCCACCCAGGCAGCTGTCTCATGCTGGAGAAAAAAATAATCAGGAAGAAATTCAGGTCAGTCACAGTAAGTGGTGACACTCCGAATAGGGCACCACACACTCATAATGCCCCGTCAAAGTCTCTCCAGAAGCCCAGCTGTGTTCCTGCTGCCCCACCCCCTCCCATATCAGGCCCCCAGGCTCTCACCTTTACGAGCCGTGAGAGACACATCCGAGCCCTGGGCACTGTCGCTGCCTGGGGTAGAACAAAACAGGACCTGGTCAGAGCCCACAGGAGATACAGCTACAGGAGGAATTATGGGGTGTGGGAGCTCCCCCATGGGCTCCTGTCTACACTGTCCAAAAGGTCTCAGGGATAAGTCCCCCATACTTACAGGCAGCCTGAGCGTAGCTCCCCCCTTTTCCACCTGTGGGAAGAAAATGCCCTGTGAGAGGCCAGAGAGGAGGCAGGGCCATGAGGTCCTAGAAAATCCCCCTAGTCTTGGACCCCAGAGAAGGTTCCAGAACTGTGACTGAAGATCTAGGCCAAGATTAAGAAACACGAGGAAAGGAGGGACTGAACCAACTGCCCTCCTGGAGGTCTGTCCTCAGCAGGGACTCGTCCCTGTGACCTGTGACTTCTGGGATTCAGATCCCCATTATCACAATCATCAAGGTGATAAATTTGTTCTTCATTTTCCACGTCCTTTACAATAGAGCAAGTGTGAGCAAACAAGGCCCGTGAATGAGGCAGGGCACACTTCTGCCTGCGCATGAAACCTCCAGTGGGACAAGAAAACCCCAATCCCACCCTCACCCCTTCCCCACCTGAGCTCTTCTTCCTCCACATCACAGTGGCGACCACAGCTCCAGTGAGCACAGCTCCAAGGAGAACCAGGCCAGCAACGATGCCCACCATGGGGACGCTGGGCTGGGAAGGCGGCTCTGGGAAAGGACGGGAAGGTGAGGGGCCTGACCCCAGGCTCAGCCCTGACCCTGCTGAAGGGCTCCAGAAGGGCCCCTGCTTTCCTGAGAAGAGACCTGACCCCTGATCCCTTCCTTACCCCATCTCAGGGTGAGGGGATCTGGCAGCCCCTCGTGCTGCACATGGCACGTGTATCTCTGCTCCTCTCCAGAAGGCACCACCACAGCCGCCCACTTCTGGAAGGTTCCATCCCCTGCAGGCCTGGTCTCCACAAGCTCCGTGTCCTGGGTCTGGTCCTCCCCATCCCGCTGCCAGGTCAGTGTGATCTCCGCAGGGTAGAAGCCCAGGGCCCAGCACCTCAGGATGGCCTCATGGTCAGAGACGGGGTGGTGGGTCACGTGTGTCTTTGGGGGGTCTGAGGAGAGGAGTCAGAAAATTCAGGCACTTTGCATCCCTCATGGACACTCCAGCAATGCTCATGTGACATCCTCAGAATGGACAGGACAAACGGGGTGGGGGAAGGGAGTGCAAAATCCAGACACCAGCCAGGACCCAGGGGTCTGAGATAATCTCCTATTCCTCGGAAAGTTCCAGTCTCTGTCGGGGAGAACGGGGACGTCCGGTCTTGGCCTGAGTGGAGGCCAGCGACGCAGAAGGGCGGGAATCAGGCCCCAAACACAGAGTGTGAGGCAGAGAATACGGCCTGAGAGGAAAAGTCACGGTGCCCACGGCTGCTGCTCGGTCTTTCAGGGACTGTCTTCCCCTCCATTCCCTGGGGACTCATCCCTTAATTGTCCCAGAGGGAAGGGCGGGTGCTCAGAGTCACTCCCTGGAATAGGATCTGGACACCCAGGAGGCGTCTTCCTGCTCTGGACCAGATAGAGAGCCATATTCTAGTGTCGGGCCCATTTTCCTCCCCTCCTTGTGGGAGCAGAGCGGGGACGTCTACAGAAGATGTGGGAGGCGCCCCGCGGCCCCGCGTACCCGCGCGCTGCAGCGTGTCGTTCTCGTGCTCCAGGTATCTGCGCAGCGAGTCCACGCATGTTCCCTCCAGGTAGTCCCTGTGGCGCTCCGCCACACCGGCCGCCTCCCACTTGCGCTTGGTGATCTCAGCCGCCGCGTCCACCGCGGTCCAGGAGCGCAGGTCTTGGTTTAGGGTGATGTATTCGGCGCCGTCGTAGGCGTACTGCCAGTACCCGCGGAGGAGGCGACCGTCCGGCCCCACGTCGCAGCCGTACATCCTCTGGAAGGTGTGAGACCCTGGCCCCGCCCCCCGCAGTCAGCCACGCCCACTCGGCCCCGCCCTGCCCCCCCCAACCCGCGGGGATTTTGGCCGAAACCGAAAATGAAACCGGGTGAAAGTCCCCGCGGGCTCCTCCGGGGTCTAAGGTCTTGGCGGGTCCCGCAGCCTCGGGGTGACTCTCGGACCCGGAGACTCGGGGCGACGCGGGCTTCTCTGTGGCGGTGGGGAGGGGTTGTGACCTGTGACCCGAGCCCGGGGTCACTCACCGGCCTCGCTCTGGTTGTAGGAGCCGCGCAGGGTCCGCAGGCACACTCCGAAATTCTGTGCGTCGTCCTTGGCGTTCCGTGTCTCCCGGTCCCAATACTCCGGCCCCTCCTGCTCCACCCACGGCGCCCGCGGCTCCACCCTCGGACTGGCGGCGTCGCTGTCGAACCGAACGAACTGCGTGTCGTCCACGTAGCCGACTTCGATGTACCGGGACTCCCCGCGGCCGGGCCGGGACACGGCGGTGGAAAAATACCTCAGGGAGTGGGAGCCTGGGGGCGGGGAGGGGCTGAGACCCGGCCGACCCTCCTCCCCGCGCGGCGCCCGTGTCCTGCGCCCCCGCCGGGCGGTCCCCTCGCTCCTCCCCGCAGACGCCGCTTCCTCCCGAGCCCGCACTCACCCGCCCAGGTCTCGGTCAGGGCCAGGACCCCCGAGAGCAGCAGCAGGAGGGTTCGGGGCGCCGTGACCTCCATCCTCGGGGTCTGGGGAGACTCTGAGTCTGGGTAGGTCTGTGGGGACTTTATCACCGGGAACCGCGGCGACGCTGATTGGCTTCTCTGGAAACCGAAACCCAATGGGAGTGAGAACTGTGGCCGCGTCAGCAGTATCCAGGAAGAAGGACCTGACACGGGTTGGAACTGGGAGAAGTGAAACTCTGGGAGATGGGGAATCCCCGACGATGAGCTTCGCCGCCCCGGTCGCCGCCCTCGGAACTGAGGCCCTGAGAGCCACGCCCGGGGCCCTGCGACATTGCCCTGACCCCTCCCCTCCTGCACCGAGAGCTCTTTGTCACACTGTCTCCCTGAGTCCCGGCCCAGGAGCTGTCTGAGGAAACCAGGGACAGACCCCCAGGCTGGGCCCAGCCCCTGCCCCTTCACTTCCCGCCCGGGAATCCCTCTCCCTGAACTGGACTCCCTGCCTCCTACTCCTTTCCTCTCCCCCTGGACTCTTCTAGAATAAACTCACCCCAGGGAACTTGATGCCAGAGTGAGCTCGCCCTGAGATTGGAGGTGTAGACACAGAGGTTTTCTCTTTAAACCTGGAGACTTCCTGTCTGAACACACCATATGGAAAGATTCCCATAGAGACCCGTTTCCTTTTTGCTTATTAACTAGGGTGGGCAGCACAATCTTGGTAACCCCTGGAAGATCAGGAATCTAAGGTGTAAAAGAAGTGAGTTTGGCCCCTCGGTATATAAATGTGTCTAAACGCGTTACAGTTAGACTCAGAACGCTCCCAAGTTTTACTCTCCCAGACGATGTGTCTTGGACTCTGAGTTGTTGTATTTTAAAATTATCTTCGCTCCATAGCCCTGAGTCTGTGTGCGAGAATCCAGGACATCCCCTCATATAAAGGAGCACAATCTGTTACTGTCTATTTCAGCCAGGAGTTGTAGGACTTTAATCACTTCAGAGCTGCACATGCTTAGTCAGAATGCCCCTCACCAGCGCTCGCGCCTTGCCTGTTTTCATGAATCATTCACATCTAAGCTGTGTGTGTATTTTGGGGGAACACTTGGTATTTTTAACCTGATTAACATTAGGAGGCAATTAGTGTTTAGGCAGCCTCACAAATGTATTAATTATGAAATACAGGCTGCTGGAACAGCAAGAGCCAATCATGGAGCTACGCATGGGGAGTTAGTACTGCCTGGGACGGAGGACCAGGAGCGGGTCCTTCCGAGACATCTGCCTGGGTGCCAGCATCGCCCCTGGTGAAGAAGCTGCCATCAAGCTCGTGTGAAAGCAAAGCACCCCCAGCTGCACATCGAGAGCAAGTTCTATGTTTTTTTAAGTTAAAAAAAAGAAGAAAAGGGCCGGGCGCGGTGGCTCATGCCTGTAATCCTAGCACTCTGGGAGGC